TAAATAAGACTTGGTGGATCAGCTGCCATAGATAGCATCATAGAGTGTTTGACTCCCTCAAAGCAGTCATCTCAGCCACACCCTCAGCGTCATGAACCCCAAATTCGTTAGAGCCAATCTCATCCTCATGGACTGAAGACCCAACCACAAATGCTGATGGTTCTTCAAAGACATTCAGTTCATCGTTACCAGCCATACTAAAGTCCGCAGCTGAACGTGAAGGATATTGTCAGATGAAATTATGAAGTATAATTATTGCCACCACAATATGCATATGCTTTTGAATGGATACGACGACATATCACGTAAGATAACCAATTTCTTCTTTCAAACCCCAAACGTTCTTTCAATTACTTCGCGTAAAGAGGAGTGACATTTGTTAAACATTTCTTTCCTGCCACGGATGGTGATGACGGATGGTGTCACTTGCTCGCTCAAAATCAGGAATATGGTATCTAGTGTCTGGATGTGGCTTCAGGTAGCCCCTCTGCATAGGATATCCAACATCAACCAAATAGTATTTCCTTGTTATAGAATACACTGTTAATGACAAATAATACATATAACTAGTACGTTTACAAATCAAATCATACTTAAAAGCGGGTGAGGAAAACACTGTGATCCATTCCTAGTTGCATAGGAGAAAATCCGACTGTCATGTGCACTCCTTTCCCATCCTGCCATGACAAAAATGAAACACATGTTAAAGTCACATACCGCCATGACATTTTGAGTAGTTAAACCACTATGACCAATGTGCGCCACTTTGTTCTAGCTGGGTTGTCGGGCATCAATTTGAGTATCGTCAATTGCACATATGCAGTTCTGTTTTTTAACGTTAGAAAAAAACAGAATTTCGGAAGTAAAGTAAAGAAACCAATAGTTACCTTGAAATAGGACATGTAACAGGGATCGTTGGCAGTTTCCCCTTTAGCAAATGATGGATCCTCTGGTTTAACGATTTGAGCAGCCAAGCTAACAAGTTCCTGTATGCCTTTGGAGAAGTAACGTCTTATTGTTTTTGATAAATGCTGAAATCTCTCCATAACACCTTTAATAGATTCATTCTATGACAAAATGTGTATTATTATAGCCAACACCTCCCTTCTCGTCGTTCTAGAGGAACCTTGGAGGCCATGATTCAGAGATAACTCGTTCAGGAGATCCATAAAAATAAACACACTCATTCGAAAAATGTTGCTGAATTTTATTGGATATCCAGAAAACATTTCACCTACCCATTTATCCACAATAAAACTTGACGTCATACGTGGTATGCGAACACTGCTGGTTTGGTAATACTCCAACAACATTATTGCAATAGCTGCAGCCCATGCTATGCTTTTACGGCATTCCCGCTACGGAACCATCCTAAATTCAAAAAATGTCAGTTATTTCAGCAATTGTTAATACATGGTAGGATCGAGAAATAAACAAGGAAAACATGAAACACTTAAAATAAAAATGTACACTAAAAAAAGATATTAAAAAAAATACATACAAAGAGTAACATATTAAAGAGCAACATGAAGTGCACTAAAAATAAGATCCATATAAAGAACAATATATTAAAATTACCCATTTAGAAGATAATTTTATCACAATCCTTTAGAAGAGCACAAATGATAGAAATCAACTTGCTTGGAACTACACCTCTGAAATAAAGATGCGGAAAAATCGGAGTAACCCTCAAGCCACAAATCTAAGTTAGGATATACCCAAAAACCTTTCATTTATATATCACACCAAAAGTTAAAAAAAAAATATTGCTTGCATCTCAACCTCCCAAAAAAACTAACAGAAAAGGCATGCATTACGAATCATAAAGGAAAATTGAAATGCTAGGGCTCGCGGGAAGGAAGGAGAGGGATATCGGGTATACCTTGCGCCGATCTCAGTGAAGGAGAGGCTTGGCGAGCCGAGGGAGATCTGCCAGGCGATGCGTGTGATTCTCTTGGAAAGGGCGCCGATCTCTTGGGCGAGCAGAGGAGATCGATTCTCTAAGGGCGAGGGCGTGGGAGCGAGGGCGTGTGAGCGAGGCGAGGGGGCGAGGGAGAGAGGCGAGGCGGCGAGGGAGCGAGGCGAGGCGGCGAGGGAGATAGGCAAAGGGGCAACACAAGGATTCTTTCCTAATCGCAAAATTCATACGCGAGACGCAGGGGGAGTCTGGCTTGAGAAACCATGAAGAAAATCACGATAAAAAAACTCCGCGTCACAAAAAATTTAGACTGATCGCGATATTTAAACGGGGAGGTGGCGTTTTGAAAACGCTGCCACACGCTATAAGCTGCCCCAAACGGGCACTTCATTGATTGACTACTTTTCTCAGTATTGTTTGTTGTTTCCAATGAGTAAAAATTTGAAATGCCGCAAATATTTCAAATGTTTCAAATGATGGTGGAAAGACAATTTCAAACCAAAATCAAAATCATACGTACTAACAATGGTATTGAATACAACTATAAAAAATTTTAGGCCTATCTTATTAATCATGGGATAGGCATCAGTTTAGTTGTCTTTATACACCGGAGCAAAATGATATCACTGAATGTAAAAAAGCATATTATGGAAATCTCAAGACAGTTCTTTGGGCTAATATCCGGTTAATTTGCTTCCATTTAGTAACACAAGCAACAAAGCTTCTTTTCAGATTCTGCATAAAAGGCTGCCTTCATACAGTCATCCTAAAATCTTTGGTGCTTATGCTATCATGGTTTACAACCATAAGGAAAAAATAAACTTGATCCTAGATCTGTTCTATTTGTTTTCATAGGTTATGCTCCTAATCATAAAGGCTACAAATGCTTGAATTCTGTCACATGAAAGATATATATTCCTCGATATTTAAAGTTTATAGTCTGTGTTTTCATTTCATCATAATAGCTCGGATTCAGCTATACATACAAAATTCTAATGAATCAATATTTCATCCTCCAACACTCACTTTGGTTCCAGCCTCTGTTACCTCTGTTACCGCAGCAAAATTCAGCAACACCTCAGTCTTAAGTAGAAAATGCGATGCAAGCACACAATTCATTACATCATCACAAACCATACAAGAACCGTTTTTTATCAGCTCTTCATCAACTATTGAAACAATATTACCCCACTATGAAATTTTTTGGCAACCACAATTGAAACATCCAATTGTTATTAGATTCCAATCACCGAAGCCGAAGCCGAAGCTCAGACAAATTTTAAATTTGATCCATGACAGTGATTCAACCAACTCTGAACCTAGCTGTTATTCTAATGCTGTAAAACAAATTCAGTGGAGACGAGCAATATCAGAACTGATGCATGCGCTTCTTACTCAAGGTACCTGGACACTTGTTTCCTCTCCCAATAATCAACATATACTTGGGTGTAGGTGGACCTAGAAACTGAAATGTCATGTTCATCGTTCTATTGTGAGATGCAAAGCTTGATTAGTTGCACAAGGTCATACGTAGTAATATAGAATAGATTATTATCAAATGTTTAGTCTGACAACAAAATTTCCAACTATAAGAACTCCTCTTGCAGTCCCTACCAATAGAAACTGGACTATCACTCAACTTGATGTCTCCAATGCATTTCTACATGCTAATCTATGTTGATGACATACTAATTATAGGCAAACATCAGCCCTAAATTTATCACATAACCACTCAACTACAAGTTAGCTTTAAGCTCAAGATATTGGTTCCGGTGTCAACATTTATGGGAATGCAAATCACGAAGAGTGAGACAGGTCTCCATCTCACACAAACAAGCTATGCCAAGGAACTAGTGCAATGTGCGGGCATGATAAGTTGCAAACATGTAAACAATCCTTCTCCTACCAAATCAAGACTCAACAATGAAAGTCTCCACTTGTATTCCAATGCCGAGCTTTACCGCCGTCTAGTTGGTTCATTACAATATCTTACCAACACATGATCTGATATCTCCTTCTCGGTAAACCAATTTTATCAACATCTGCATCAACCTCTCATTATTCATTTTATGTATCTAAACGTCTTCTAAGATACTTGAGTGGCACTCTTACACATGGTATCACAACATATGAGGATGAACCTGTGCTACAAACTTACTCAGACTCGGATTGGGCGTCAGACCATATGGGCAAAAGATCTTTATCAGGTTATTGTTCTATTCTTCGTCGCACTCTGATTCCTTGGCATGTCAAGAAGCAGCCAACAGTGGTGAGGTCTTTTACTGAAGCGGAGTACATAGCACTTGCTAATGTCACTGCTGATATAATATGGCTCGGAAATTTGCTTGCTGTTTTTCGCATCTTTCAGACAAAAACTATATTGTACTGTGACAAATTATCAACATTAGCTCTAACTAATAATCTAATATTTCATGCAAGAAGTAAATACATTGAAGTCAGATTATCACTTCATTAGAGGTTGCATTCAACAAAAGCAAATCAGACTTCACCACATTCACATGGAAGAGCAGCTCGCAGACATATTTACCAAGTGACTTTCAGCCACTCCTTTTCATAGTCTACAAGACAAGTTGCTAATCAAACCATGCCCATCAACTTGCGGGGAGGTAATAACAGCAGTGGATCAGAATAATTCAAAGCATAACTCCTACCTAAATCCAGTGCAGAACAACCCAAGAAATTAATTCAAGAAAATACTTTGCTGTAAAATAACCATATTCTAACCATATTCTGTTACAAGTTTACAAGTGTGTGTGTGTGTGTGTATATGCATATGAAGTGGATAGATGAGTAATGTAATGTCATTCAGAAAATATATCTGAATTACAGAAAATAACTTCTACTCTCTTTCGAAAAACTCCACTACTTACAGGTCATGAGTTTCTTCACTTTAACTATGCTGTTTTCTATGTTTTTTAAAATCATGTCTATTGTTACCTCAATTTTTACTGCATTTTATATTTATAGATCAACACATCATATTTGATGTGAATTGTTTATTTTTATCCCTGCGCTATGTATTGCATTAATGTTTGATGTGCCTTAATAACCCTTATTGCAGTAATTTTTCTTTTGATTTGTTCAAGATTCATCATGGAATCCCAGTGTCTAGATTTCCTAGTGATCTACGAAATGGTCACCTTAGAGGCTGTTGCAATCTTCATGCCACACACCAGCTCGGGACAACAGGACAAAATATTGTGGAGAATAACAGTATAATAAGTTCAATATCAGGTGCTGCTAATGATGCACCAAAACCAAAAAGAAAGAAGCTAAAAGGAAAAAGAGCTGTTGTGAGGTGGCTGAAATTCTTCAGGTGGAAAAAGAAAAAGGAGTATGAAAGAATGACACCAGAGGAGAAGATTTTATTCAAATTGAGGAAGGTGATGACTCACGAGTTTATGTTTTCTTGCTCACTAATAAGTTAAGAATTTTTTAAAAATTGAAGAGGAAACTTTTTCAAAATTAAAGAGGAAATTTTACATACGTGGCACACAATTCATTTGGATTTACATCTAAACTTCAATATTTACATACATAGCACTTTGGTGCATTAAACTTTTTGCATAAAAGATATAGTGCTATTTTTGATGTGATATTAAAGATTTTGAGTGCTGCTATGTGTGCAAATATGAAAGTTTAGGTGTGAGATATGTAAATACATAAGAATTGTGTGCTATGTAGCTAAATGCCCCCAATTAAAGGATATTTGCACATGGCATTCAGTTCATTTGATTTTTTATGCATGTTCATTTTATTTATTTTTTTGCTACAAAAGGCTCGAAAAAAGGAGGAACGTCTTATTGAAGCCTTGAAAAAGGTTGAACCCAAAGATGACTCGGTTGCTATGCATGATCCTGAGGTACTTACACCGGAAGAACACTTCTACTTGCTTAAGTTGGGACAAAAATGCAAAAATTATGTCCCGGTTGGAAGACGAGGGATTTTTCAAGGAGTTATTCTTAACATGCATTTACATTGGAAGAAACATCAGACTTTGAAGGTTATAGTAAAAACTTTTACTCCAGAGGAGGTCCAAGAAATTGCAGCTGAGCTAGCTAGATTGAGTGGAGGAATCGTGCTTGAGATCAGTGAGGATAGTACAATAATAATGTATAGAGGAAAGAACTATTCACAGCCTCCAACAGAGATAATGTCACCGAAGATTACTTTGACGAGGAAAAAGGTAAGATTTTTTTTTCTCTCTGTTGTTACTAACAGGGTTTGAAAATATTGTCGTTCAATTTTAAAGTTACATTCCCATCATAAAATCTCCTCTGCAAAACTTAGACAATAGTTGAAAGTACAAGTTGTAAAGTAGCTGAAAATATGATTTACACCTCTCTTTATGTCATATTCCACTAGATATTTGCAACTCTGTTGGGAAGTTGGTCTTGGGTATGATATATCTGGTAATTAGAATTTGGATTCCATGATCTTGCTTTGCAAGTGCATAGGATTTAAATTGTCTGAAGGTTACTTGGCCCGATCAAATTCAAATTCTAATTAGGTCCAATTCAAAATTTGATCGGATTAGGGTTTCAACCAATTTTGACCAACTTAGTGATCTTTGGATTTGGTGTGGGTGGTGAGAGGTGGGTATGTAGCTATGTAGTTTGGGGTGTGCATTATTTGGTCAAAATAGGAAAATTGAGCATAAGCAAACAAGTTTAGTTGATTCATTTCGGTTTCAAAAATGTCTTTCTGTTTTTTATTGTTAAAATGTCAATATTCGGTTTTAATTTTCATTTTATCGGACAAATTGAAAAATAAAAAAATCAAAATTAAATGGAGGATTCATGAAATTAATTGATATTATACATGCAAGATTTGTAATTCTTGATGCTTGTTATTGAATTGCAACTAACAACTAATTATTTGTTTGCAAATTAAATTTCAGTTTGATTTTATCAAAATATTGATTGGTTCAGTTTATTTGATTTTGGATTTCGGTTGCAATTTGCTTAACCAATTTGAAATTCGATCCATCCAAATAGAGCTAATGCTTGCCCCCTACGTGTTTGCAGGGACGCTCAACGACATAAATGTTTGTGCTTTGTTTTGTAGTTTTATTAGGGAAAAAGAAGCGGATGGTGGATAGGATTTATAAAGAGAAAAAAGTACAGCTATTTTTATAGAGCATGTTAGTGGCACCTTTTAGGTTTTAAGTGGAGAAAACGTTTTGGTTGAACAAACCCAGTATTGCTTGAGAGTAATGGTGGAAACATCAATTAGTTGACAATAATGAAGCCACACTTAAAATGAAAGGGAGAAAAGGCGGCAAGGTTCGTTTTGAGATGAGGGTGATAGCCATCAAATGGCGAGCATTATACTGTTTAAGTGTAGTAATTAGTAAGTTGTGGGATGAGTTGGTTCTTTTGGCAGGTTTTAGAATGGTAATTTTTTATTAGGACGATTGAGTCAAATTCAAACTTTCTTTTATAAGCACTTGCGTATTTGCATATCTACAGAAATAATTTCATGTAGCAGAAGAGAATAAAAAGGTTTATTATTATATCAATTTTAGATATTTGGTATTATGTAATATATTTATTATGGAAAATACTAAGTATTAGGTTTGTATATTAGGTAACCTAATTAGAGGAGGTTTAATTTCAGATCCTTTCTATATTAGGTATATTCCTAATCTATAGAGAAAAGAGTGTTTATATATGTGTAAGATAAGATTGCAATTGGGAATAAGAGAAGATTGTAGTATTTTCTTATTACATGATATCAGAGCCAACTTAATCGAGTTGTTCGTCTTTGTCGTTGTCTGTGTCTAGTGACGTCTTCATCTCCTTTTCATTTCGTCGACGACTTCATGTGCTTCATGCGAGTAGGCTGATGACCATGATTGCTTCGTATGACGACATTGTTTGCTTCTTGCGAGTAGGCCGATGACTTTGACTTCTTCCTACGAAGGCTTCATCTGCTTCCTGTGAGTCTTTCTCCGCTTCCTCCGAGTAGGTCGACGCCTTTTGATTGCTTCGTACAAAGGTAATTTCTGCTTCCAGTGAATTTTCCTCTGCTTCAAACAATGCCTTCTGAATCGACTTCGCCTTCGATTTTGTCTGCATTTTGTTGACCTCACTTTTGAATTTGAAATAAAACATACAAAATAGAAATCAAATGTAATTAACTTTAATCCAACTTTAAAGTTCGTTCCAAATTATGTAATTATCATTTTTATGTTCCGAAATTATCATTTCCTCTATGGATCGTTCTAGTGCTTGGCTATTAGTTGCTTTTGGGTCATGACAAGCTTTCATGCATAAGAATTTGTTCCATATAAATTTTTTCATTGGAGCATTGTTTTATAAAATGGACTCCGCGAATACGTATGGATTGTTGAAATTTTTAAATCAGTCCCTTCGCGCCTAAATCAGACTTTGTTTTGGGGCTCATTTTGCTCACTATAAATTGGACGATGATTAGGATAATTTGGACGATAATCATGATTTTGCCCTCAAAACATACCTAAATCAATTTTAAATTCAAAATATGATCAAATTGAGTTGAGAACATCAAGATTGACCTATTTGGACCTCATCCGGGCTCTTGTCAAAAATGTCAAATTTTTTTTTCGTGTGGGACCCATGCCTTGACTTCAATTTGCTTGTCTTGGAAGCAACATAAGCCAAAATTAACTCTGCCTTTGAATTTCTTCCGAGCAGATCAAAATCATCATTTTTTGGCAGGGCCCGCACGTGCCCTTGACCGACGTGTCCACACCGGTTTTGGCGTGGCTACGCCGCCCCCCAACCTCCGATGGCGTAACCACACCTCTTGGAGGCGTGACCATGCCTTTGGACGTCTTGTTCAGGTTCAGTGACCAAAGACACGTCGTTTCACCGCCGGTGATTCATGGGCTCTCCATTGGTGATCCATGGCACCTCCAACTGGCCTTCATTCATCCGAACGTCGATCTTTTCTACTGCCTATTTATGGTGGACCCTCTCCACACTCTCCTACTATTGACTTTGTCCCTCACCTTCCCTGTTCTCCTCCTTTTGCTCGGTGCTCAGTTTCCTCTGGTCTGCATCCTCCTCCAGTCGGCTTCCTTCAACCGTGGTTGGCCTCTTCTTCTTCCTTAGTCTAGCTTCAACTCACACTCACAATAAGTCTCCGTTCCCCTCTCTACCTAACTCGTTTTTCATTCTTCTTCTTCCATCTCTTATCACGGTCTTACTCTCTTCATTTCTTCTTCTTGTATTTATTTCCCATGTGACTATCATCCATGTAAGTCAAATTCCATCTTATGCTCAAAACCTAACCCAAAACCTAACCTTTCCTAACTCGAACCCTAACCTAAACTAAACTCGAACACTAACTTAAACTAAACCCAAATTATAACCTAACCAAACCCAAATCCCAACCTAACCCAAACCCAATCCCCAACCCAAACTCAACCCAAAACCCAACCTAACCCAACCCAAACACCAACCTTAACCAAACTCTACCCTAACCCAAACCCTAATCTAACCTACCTAACCCAAATATAACTCAAACTTAACCCAAACCTTGCTTAGTTCCATTCCAATTTGACCTAACAACTCTAAAACAAGACATTTTGAAGTTCAATACTTAAATCAAGCATTTTTCACACTTAAAGCAAACATTTTAAACAAATTAAACACTCAAATCTAAATGAAATAAAATCATAAAATATTTAATAAATAAAATGTTTAAGACATTTAAACTAAGCATCTTAAGATAATTGAAACAAAACCAAATAAATAAATAATAACTTAATAAGATAAGACTTGAAATAACTTAAGAAGACTTAAATAACTTAAATATTTTCCTTTAAAAAAAAATTAATCACATTAGATTGCAGATGACATTTAAACATTATTCTCACACTAAACACTGAATAATGAACTTAAAGATAAAACTAAATGGAGGATATCAACCTAGAAAATCAATTACAAAAAACATTAAACTTAGAAGAAATGTGTTGATATGACTTATATTCAAGTCATTAAAGATATGTATACTAGAGTTGTTACTTGTGTTCAAACCGAAGGAGGATTGACAAAATATTTTCCTATTTCTGTTGGTTTACATCAGGGATCGACTTTAAGCCCATATCTTTTTGCTTTAGTTATGGATGGTCTTACTGAACATCTACAAGAGGATGTACCTTGGTGTATGCTTTTTGCTGATGATATTCTTCTCGTGGATAAAACGAGAGAAAAAGCCCAGGAAAAACTTGAATTATGGAGGTCTACATTGGAGTCTAAAGGCCTTCTTTTAAGTAGAACTAAAACTGAATACATGTAATGTAATTTTAGTAGTAATAGCTCTAGTGACAGAAGTGTGACTTTGGGTGATCAAATTATTAAAAGGTGTGAACGATTTAGATATCTTGGGTCCGTTGTCCAAAGCGATGGTGATATAGATGGGGATGTTAATAGTAGAATTCAAGTTGGTTGGTTGAAGTGGAGGAATGCTTCGGGCCTTTTGTGTGATAGAAAAGTACCGCTAAGACTGAAAGGAAAATTTTATAAGATGGTGGTGAGACCTGCAATGCTCTATGGCGCTGAATGTTGGCCTTTAAAAGAGAAGCATAATAATAAGTTAAGTGTTGCCGAGATGAGAATGATTAGGTGGATGAGTGGCTTGACACTTAGAGACAAAATGCGGAATGAATATATTCGTGATAGGGTTGGTGTAGCTCCTGTGACTCAAAGAATGATAACCAGACCTAGGTAGATAACCAAACCTAGGTAGATCCATTATAAACCCTAGGTTAGTCAACTTAGAAATTAGAATCGAGGATCACATATACCCTAGGTTAGTCCAGTTTAGAAATCTAGGACTAGGATCTACAAAATAGATAGTTTTACCTATAAGATTATGTGTATGCCCTAAAATAAAGTAACTCATGGTTACTGATGAAGAAATCCCTAACCACCTCCTAAGAAGCTCTTTGCTTGTCATGGCCATGGAGGTAAGTGAAGACTTCTAGTCACAAGTTTGGTTATAAAGGCTCGGGACGATGGAAAATAATGGACATCTTGACCAGGGACATTATTCCCAATGTTTAGGTTAGTCTATTTATTTGGATTCTTGATAGAGTTTAGGTTTATCTCAATATTAAGGTTTCACTCCTATTTAGAAGTCCTATTTTCCCATTTCTATCCCTTAGTTTAGGAATGCCTTCGAACTCAACTAGTTCAT